CACACACACACACACACACACACACACACACACACACACACACACACGATGTCCGTAAGCTCTCTCTTTTGCATTCTGTCAGTCTCATTAGCCCCACTGACATGTGGGAGTGAAGAGTGATCAGTGCCCTTCTTCGGATTCTCACTCCCGCCTGCCGCCGTCCTCCTCCTCCTCTACCTTCATTTCTGCGAGGTTACGGAGGTGTTCGACCTTGTGGGAAGGGAGGCTGTTCTCCTAATTACGGCTGACTGCTAGTAAATATCTAGTCCTCATCCGCATCCCAGTCACAAGCTTCGAGCGTAGGCCTGAGATTTCTGAGATTTCTCTGACACATGCATCAGCGGTCACTGGTATTCACAGGAAGAATTCACAGGAAAGTGGCTGATTTGAATCAGTCTTTTGCTGTTTGCTTGGAAGAACAATAGAATTGGATAGTTGCGGCAAACTGTGCTGAACACATTAAGGGCACCGGCTAAAACAATTCAAATTAATTTACAGACCTGCGAGGAAGAACACATCACAGCACCTCCCACACACTTTGATTGACAAGCGACCTCTGTCTAGAGCAAGTCTCGAGCAACAACACCACAGCAGTGACCGCTTCACAGGAAAAATGTTGCCAAAATGATAAATAAATAAATAAAGTGTCTTGCTGGTTACCAATTCAACACTCTGCTGAAAGCCGAAACTAAGCATAAACAGGATGCACGCACCCTCTCACTTGTAATATAGGAGCTGTGAGCATGCTCACACAGACTAAACAGCATTCGTCTTTATATCATTAAACACTAACTCCCATAAGCACTTACGTCGGCATCAAGGCAGATTATAATGACAGTCTAGCTTTGCTTGTTCATCGCTCTGTCTGTTGGCATGGCAACCATACTGCCTTTGACGAGGCAGATATTAGAGGGCATGTGTGTGTGTGTGTGTGTGTGTTTGTGGATGTGTCTCAGCATCTTACAACAGGACAGAGAGGGAGTGCTGATTGAAAAAAATAACAAATACAAGCAGAATGTATTTGTGAAAGAGAGTTACATCATGTCCGTTATTTGAGTCAATGGTTGTATGGTTGCAAGAGTCTTACAATAAAAGAGAAGATGAGGGAAAATAGGTGTATTTTCTGTAATTGTATTAGATTCAGCACAATTTTAGAGCTGATAAAGCGACACTCACCTGCACCACCTCAGTAGTTACTTCCAGTTTGCTGAAGCGGTAGATGATAACGTTGGCTGACACCCCGGCCACACACAGCATTCGGCTTTCAGGGCACCAGGCCATGATCTGAATGGCAAAGGGGTCTTCATCTGACACCTCGGTGCTGCCCTTGTCCTCCTTGGACCGGTTTCTGTCAAACACCTTGGCTGTTTTGAGCTTATAGAGCACCTGCAGCATTACTAGGGGGAAAAGGGTCGAGAGGAGAAAAGTATCAGCTGCAATCCAAGGAACCACACATATTGAACCTGACAATAAAAAATATGAAATTAGAGGTAATGTGCTTGCTTTGAACTTCAAGTAATAAATTGTTACTAGACTTAATCTAAACAATACGTGTTTTGTTTATTTTGACTGTGTGAAGGCTGGGGCTCAAAGTGTTCATTAAAAAAAGCATTTCTATATTAGTTTTTAAAGTGGTTTCCTTTCCCTCAGCTTAATAATACATAATTACAATTTCTTGAAGCATAAACAAATCTTAGCCCTTTTAGAGAACTCACTTGCAGAGGCATCCCAGAACTTCACAGTTCCATCAGCATGCCTGGGAATTCAAGAGACGGAGGAAAATAAATCATAAAGGTAGAGGACCAGGAGAGGGATGAATATTTGTGACTTGTGGTCTGGAATCCGCACGTTGAATTCAAGGCTGATGAAAATAAATCAGTTTGTAAGATATGCAGCATTAAAACATATCTAGAATGTCAACCGAAGACACAAAATCTGATGTCTAGGCAGTAAATAAAAACAAACCAAACATCCATAAACTTAAATAAGTAGGCCGCTTTTTAATCATTTGAACACAACCATAGATCTCCCCATTAGAAGGATTTAACTAATGATTTTCATCAGTCAAGGTTCTTTAACCAGAAGGAATACTATATGGCCAAAAGTATGTGGACATGTGAGTGGATTGGGAGGGAACTATGATGCAGCCTGTGGCACTCTTAGAAAGAGAGCGAGAAGCCTGTACAGAATGTTAATACCTATACCTCAATGTCACTTCTGCAGTGCGAGTGTTCTGTTAAAAACGCCCCTTCTCCCCTTGATGACAGCTTAGAGCGGGATAATACACATCAAAATAAAGCGAAGGGCACATGATTGGAATATATAAAGACCTACAGTAAATATTCGAAGACAAGCTCCCTTGCTGTAGAGAACTGACAGTGCAGGAGAGGTGAAAGTAATTGAGTTGCAGCAAGACGATAAAGCTAATGCTAATGAAATCAGTATTGTCTTACCCAGTGATGATGATCTCTGGGTAGCTCTGTGTGCCTTGACCCCAGTTTCCACCACTAATAGGCCATTCCTGGATTGACAGCAGACACACACAGTACATTAGAGAGAATGAGAGACCACAGATAGAATTACAGCTATGTCAATAAACAGTGTGTCAATATCAACACACAATGATTTTAGAAATAGATGACATGATAAAACTGCACCTGGGTGAGTGTGCATGGGGGAAAAAAGGCTGGGATCCTTTGTGTAACTCTCTCAGTATGTCTTGCAATTATACATTATGCACGTCAATGAGTGTGTGTCTCCGTCTGAAAGCGTGTGCGAGTGTTGGCGGGGGGTTTGGCTTTGAACACGTTGACACATACAAAGGTCATCAGGATGACTCATGGTGATCTTTATGTGAGAATGCCCTCCCGCAGCTCATCCAGGCCTTTGCTTAACAGAAAAAAGCAGCAGCTAGGCCGCGAGTTTGGGTCAGTACACGCTGACATTTACAATAGAAAGCTAGAACAAGGCGACAGGGAAAATAACATAGGCATACATAATGGCTAAAAGAGCAGGGGGTCTGTCTTAGATAACACAGGGATAAGAGAAGAGAATGAGAGGAGAGAGGAGGTGTAAAAGAGAGAGGATGGTCGTTAGGCAATACGGCACTTATAGTCCGTTTAGCTTCACACAAACTGCATGCAGTTTGTAGCAAAAATATGCATGTATGTATTAATGTGTCCTTTATTCAGTAACCTTGTTGTTCTTGGAGTACGGCAAGATGGTTAGCGGGCCTAGTGTCGAACATTTACATTTCTAATTTAGCTCTTTTACGACACTACTATCCAGAATGACACAAAGGAAAAATTCCAACCTCGGGATACTATTAACTCTGTTATACATCATTAAACTATGATGGGAGGTGTGTTCAAAGAGCTTTTCATTAGGAAGTAGTAGTGATTTATTCTATTTCAAAGGTAAAACCGGTCTGCTTCTGTTTAAGAAATGGTAACAAACAATGATGATAAGCAGTAATTAGCCATTTCTGTAGCGATAGAGACTTTTTTTTACAGAAATAATTTGCCATCAATATCCTTGGTAATTTGGTAATGTCACTAATTATAGGAACAAGACTAAAAGTCTACAGCCACACTAGCGGCTGTATCTAGGGCACAACAGTACTTTTAGCCAAATGCTAACACGAGCATGCTAACATGCTCACAGTGACATTGCTAACATGTCGATGTTGGGCGGGTACTATTTACAAGGGTCACCATATTAGCATGCTTACATTTGCTAATTAGCTTGAAAACAGCCGAGGCTGATGGGAATGTCAAGTACCTGCTAATATAAGCGATATTGTTCTGTTGATACATTTTCGATAAATAAAATGATTTATTTGCCAGTGAAACTAAGAGAGTATTTTAGTCTGTGCATAATAGCACAATAGGAACATGCAAAAGTATAACGTTTGTCTACAGAAAAGTATAATAATACATTCATATTCCATTATTCATACTTGGATTTAAATTATGTTTTTCTTTCAAAGAGATTCCAATTTTAATTCCAAAATGAAGTGGATCTTTTCAGGAAACTTTCTTCGATCCAAGACACTTTTAAGGACCCGTAAATAAAGAATATTTCCCACCTTTTCCTTAAAATACACAAAAGGCATGTCATGTGATTGCACTACTTCCAATCTACGAAGAAGAAACTAATATCTCTTCCTCTTCCATAAATGAATTTTTCGTTTTCCCTTCCTGTGCAAAATTGTAAACGTGGAAAGAAGTCCTTGATCTTTAATTCTGCGGGTCTGTATCCAAAGCCTGATATTTACCACTGATATGTTTACGAGGTCAAAGATTTTCCATTCAGATTACCACAACAGTACAAGAAGACACATCACCGATAACAATATGTAGTGCTACAACAGAAAGCTTTCCTATACAGAACAGTACCTTTTTGCTGTAGCCCTGTCGTTTCTGCCGCGAGCCAACTGAGTAAAGTGCAGGTATGAGGTCCACTGGGCAGTCGGCAAAGTACTCGCAGCAGGTCACGGGAGACTCGTGGATAGTCAGAGGATAGGGGTTCTCGAATATGGGGTAACTGTTAGCAAGAGGGCACGGACAAAGTCACTTTTAATTAAGTGAGCCTGTCTGCCAAGTATCAGTGCATTAATCTCATTCAGTGCTGCATGCGTACTAAAAGAATACGATTTATGAAAGTAAGTTATATCACGTATAATAAAGGTAACGAGCACTAATAGGCCAACTTTGACATTTCAGCGCACATTTAAGAAACAAAAGATGATGAAGAGTTATTTAATAGAGCCAGACTCACCCATTTTGTGCAAGGTCGATGACCACCAAATCCTTTTCTAGAAGGACCACCACAGCGTAAGGTTCCTGAAAATCTGCGCAGAGAAGCAGAGAGACAAGTCATTCATCACACCACACGTTCACAAGTGTTGAAATTCCTCGAGAGAGAACTCCACTGAGATCTGCAAACCACATGGGGAGAATTCCTTAGACTTTCTGTGGCAAATGTTATTATCATATCTGTGCCCTGAAGATGTGAGGGCAGGAACGCTTAACGCTTCAAATTCATTAATCTATGAGATTTATGTCTGCGGGGGATACTGCTCTGGTTAAATATTTGCATCAGTCTGATTTGGGAGTAGAATTTATCCATTCAAAAGTAATGCACTGGTTTCACAGATTTTTATAACCTATAAGGCACAAAACTGGAACCAGTGCAGATCACCCTGCTGCTAGATAAGCTAACTGCACATATCAAGTCATTCAAGTCTAAAATCCTAAGAAAAGTAATAAATGCTAATAAAGGGGACATGTGTATCCAGCAATGACATAATGAATAAAAAAAAGACAGCTCTAACAGAAAAATCGTGAATGCAGAATATGCAGAAAATACATGGTAATTAATAATTACTGAAAGGATGCAGGGGAATTCTTTATCATTCATAGATTTACACTGATCACACCAGAGCTGCGTCAGAGAAAGAACTACCTTTCTGACCGTAAAAAACATAAAGTTCCCTGCCTTAAAGCTTTGTATGAGTCCAGTGCATTAAAAAAAGCTCAGGCCTTTATGGCAGACATTAGACTGTAGCTACACTTGGAAGTAGCATCACACACCACACAGAGACCATTCAGATATGTACTATAACCACGAGTGTTTTGTGCATGCACACTGGTGTTTAAAGAAAAGTCTGTTGTGTAGAGCAGCTGGCTGTCAGAGTACACCAAGGTTGAAACACTTTGACAAGTGTTGTCACCACATCTCTCACTGTCCCTCTCACTTTACTTCCCTGGTGCTGGTCTACAATTGATTCACATTATCTCGTGACACGTTACTGTATGTAACTTTAGATCACTGTACAGTATCTCTATGTCCGTCCGTCACTTTCACTAAAGACAATTATAATCAAGGCAATAAGCAAACCAAAATATATACAGGATATTATAATTGTGTATCTCTTTCAAGTCTATTTGCCTTTTCTAAGCACTGGGAAAACTCTCTCCAGAGGAAGGCTATGAGATGTGGCTGAAAGCAAGTAGACCTTGTTGTAAAAATGTTTTGTGAACCTGCTATTTTCAAGGTGAATAAAGAATCTCCAAGCTTAAGATCAAATCTAATTTACTGAGAATGATGCGCTGATGCTCTGTATTTATTTTTATGAGCTGTACTCCTCCTCTGGGTCTTTGTCTGCGTACTGTACTTCTCTGCTCCTTTTTGTTTCCTGCACTCGTAGGTGTAACAATGTTGTCTGCCTGCCATTTGCTTTCTCATTCAGACATATAGTCGTGTACGTACATCATCTGCAGCCAGATCTTTAAGGATTATTAAACCTCCTCTACACACCAACGCTGGTTTAAGCGTGCAAACATACAGAAATGTATCGTGTAATCCAAAGACCCAGTGATGTCCGTTACCAAATAAAATCACCGTTTGGTGACATCCGGTTGCTGTCACCATCATTACATAACTCCTTAATGCTGCCTGTAGCTGTGTATGTGCCAGATAACATTGCCTGAGAGTTTACAGACTGGATTACCATCAGCTGCACTTTGACTTGATTTTGCGGTTAACTCAACAATGCAGGAAATAAGATCATAATATAATTTAGATGGAAGGCTATTGTGTACAAATAGATTAAATGAAAATGTAATGCTGCGTGTGTCAGATAATAAAACTGGAATAGGATTTCTTCCCCTTGGGAAATTTCTTATTTATTACAGAAACACACTAACACAGGGGAAAGCAATTCCACATAATTAAAAAAAAAAAGAAGTGTGTGTGTTTTGTGTGTGTGTGATTCTAATGCATTGACGAAAGGACAAACATGCACACACCATACGATCACATCCACAACACAATAAACACAAACGTACCGTTAGCGTATGGTGTCTCACAGAGTGTGAGGAAGTCTACTATTGGATAGTCCATCTCCAGCACTGCGGTACTCTTCCCATGCATTACAGTCAAACATGGACGCCGTCCTACCGTGTCGTAAGACAGACCACCAGACAGGATTATGAAGGGCTCCCTGGAACAGACACACAAGCATAGGTATAAACATTCAACTGGATTTCTATATATATATATACAATTTATACTACAACCACAGAAAATACCTATTTTGATTGGTCTGCTGATGGCCATTAAAGTTGTGCATTGTAAGTTGTAGTTGTATACTGTAGATATGGTGTATGGACTATGTTACCAGCTAACTTTGACAGGTGAAACCACAACTTTGTATGACTACAAACAATCTTCAAAAAAAAAGAGACAATTAAAAAGACCTTTTCACTGTAATAACTGGACAAAGTATTCGAGAAATACCGCTGTTACATGACACCATGACTCAAAGAGGGGTGGTGTTTTCTTCATTATTTTAATATCAAAAGATTGACATAGGTCTCTGTATAAATTCTAGCTCCGATTAATGCACATTAATCTGCTCACATTGCCTTGGCAACAGCTGTTCACTCCTGTCAACCTTGATGTGTATTTTGCCATTACAGTGTTGTATATTTAATATATTATTAATGCCCAAGCATGTGCGTATGTGTGTGCGTATAAGAGAGAGAGAGAGAGAGAGAGAGTCCATACCCGATTCTAGTGGTTTTGTACTCCACTTTGAGAATGGGTTTACAAGGCTCTGGCTTCTTCCCGTCCTTGGGCTGTTTTCCTAAAATAGAACAAACAGAAGTTACTTTAGTTTGCCAGTTCATCTCTCTTCACCTCCTCTTTTCTTGTTCCTCCTGTCATCTCATTTTTTTTCTCTCCTCCTAGAAGCTGTTGAGAGCTGCACTTAAATTGCAGCTCTGAACAGTAGCCAAAAAAAATAACAAAGGGCTATTCATCAGAAAGAATAAAGACAAATGCAGAGGGAAGGGACATGCAAAGAAGGTGTGACGATCACGGATGACTTTCAGAATATATCTATTTTGCACAGTTATCATTTGTGTGCCTATCTATGCATTTCAGAATGCACAAACAGTGGCTGTATGAACTACTTTTAAAGAGCCAAAGTGAGCCCTAAGGCAGGTTTAAACAAGGCAGGTATGTATAATAAAGAACTGCTTTTAATAACTACATCTAACTAACAGATATCGAAAAGACAATTAAAGGAGGACTTATAAGCCTTAGTTAAACCTGTCAAATGAATTTGCATAATGCACATTAAATACCAAACTAATTATGTATGCAGCAGTCGGAGAAACAACTAATTAAAAAGCCTGTGTGGCGAAATCCTTTCTGCAATCCCCTACACACAAGACCAGCTTGAGAAACTGGTTAGAAGTTATTTCCTTTCATTTAATTCCCGTCTTTGTTCCTCTTTCTGACTCTCGCGCTCTCTCTCTGTCCATTTGTTGCACTCACACACTCTGTCTAGTTCTTCCAGTCCCTTCATCTGAGTGACTTGTCAGAGTGCTCTGTGGGATGAGTAGGTGTGCGGGGAGACGGAGGAGGATAGATTAAAATGCATCTTCGAAAGAGCAGACTTGCTTTCCTGCAGGAAATAAACAGAGCAGCGGCACTAATGTAGGCATGTGCCGACACAAAGTCAAGCAAACAGAGGCAGGACATAATTGAACTGACAATAATCCTTTTGATTGAAATAGGGAAACGATGGGGGAGTTACTTGGAGGGACAATCTTGAGGGAGGTATGGAGTGAATCATGTGACTAACAGAGGTGGCTAAAGGCTCACGTATCATGTATTGAAAAACAGGAACTATACCATAACACCGCAAAGTAATCAGACCAGGCAGAACCAGTGGTTTTGTTTTAATGTAATAACCTAATGAAATTGCTGCATTCATGTCCACATGTAGAAAGTTTGACGTCCAGGAGTATTTGGATAACGTTAGCAGAATTTGGAGCAGTGGTTACCGACCTGTTTTATTTGTGATGCCTCAATACAAAGCAATTTCTATTTGCAAGCCCTCTATATGTCTATAAGTTGTGAACGGTTAGATTGCAAGGCGATTGAAAAAGATACGATAAAAATGTGCTTCATAATAGATGAAAAATACACAAAATGCAGGAAACACAGCAAAAAGGATAATTCTTTTAAAAAAGAAAGAAATATCACAGAAATGGTAAAAAAAACAATTATAATAGCAGTTAATGAAATACAATTAATAATATTAGTGAGGTTGATAAACACTTTCGGGTTAAAGCAAGTTTGAAAAGATGAGACATATCCAGGCATATTTTCTGTCTATTCAAACTATTTATCTGCATTTTTCAAAAAACAAGTTTTGCACTAATTGACCCACAAGTGTTAGAATGTTTCAGAAATGGTGTGCAGCACCAGGCAGATTGTTATTTGGGGGATTAAAATGCCTAATGTTAGGAAAAATATCAAGTATGAGGTTAATTAATTACCTAACCTAATATGGTGAAGTGTTCAGGTAAAATTAAGATAAGATCCTAATAATATAAGGAGTACTAAATGAATGAGTGTGGAAGTGATTTTAGACGCAGCCTGTGTGTGTGTGTGTGTGTGTGTGTGAGAGTGAGTGTGTGTTTGTTTTTGTGTGTGTGTCCCCGCTGCTTACCATGTGGGGTGATTGTCTGTATGGGCTTGCCCTGGCCTCTGATGTTCCATATGGTCAGAGTTCCATCTGAGTGACTGCAAATGAACTGCTTGCCCTCGTGATGCCAGGCAACTGAGTGGATCGCCTAGGAAACAACATGCAAGAAAGATCGGGGGGGGGGGGGGGGGGGGGGGGGTCAGTGGTTCAGCCAGACGAAGCATCATGTGCCACCATCTACCTTAATCTACAAGTGTGTCAGCCATACGGTACATAGTACACTGTTCATGCGGGGGTTAAGCGCCCTTGACTCTGGATAATATACTCTTGAACAGATGGGGAAAGTGAGATAAAAGAGTCTGGCCCCTGACTTCAGAGTATTTCCTGTGGCATCAATGCATATATTAGAAGGAGCTTTTTTTAATTGACCCATTTGCTGAATGTGGAGAAATGATGGAAATGGATTGGTCATTTTGTTCAGGAATGCCAGGAGCGAGGTTTTCTTTTACCATGGCTACAATTTTAAGAATTCTTTTTCATAAAGACACACATTCACACGGGGACAAAATGGTCTACAACATTCAGTATAATTAAAATACATTTGATCTGGTGCACTCAGGTTCATCTGGTGTCACTTGGAGCCGTGAGTTTAATATCAAAGTATTTAGTCTGTCTTGCTTACCAAAGAAGCAAAGAAGAAGCAGAGAAGGTAAAAGAGAATACGTTTTGTCAGTAATGTGTTTTAAATGAGGCAAGGAAGTAAAAAAAAAAAAAAAAGCAATCACAAGTTTAATAGAAAAAAGTGAAAGTAATCACAATTCTAATATCTACAGTATTTACTGGGGGAAAAGTATTTGTTTTTGTTAGGCTTTTCTTAAAGCAAAACAAATGACCATATGGAGAAATTGATACAGAGACAAGCAAATAGATCTACAGAAGAATACGGAAAGGCAGGAAAAAGTCAGAGAGATGTTGCCTGCTCCGTCCTCTCATCCTCCCCGTCGTCTCAACAGTCTTAACCCTGGTTCACAATGATTTATCCACTGACAAGCAATCATTGAAAACACAAATGAATCAGGTCCAAAGTATGCCAGTAAAGGGCAACCATGCCTATTGATGCCCTTTTTATAGCTCATAATTTAACCCAGTGAACGTCCTGACATTGAGTGAATATGATGATGTGCACCAAATCTGTGTGAAGCTCAACAACAGCTTCCGAAGCAGTATTTACGAGGCTTGTCCCATGAATTTACGCCCAGGGGCATGTTCTTACCAGAACACCTGCAGCATCAGTAATATGTCTCACCACAAAGCCGGTGCTTTGTCAGGGAAAATATTCTCCCAGAGACAATGATTGGACATATTCTCTGAAATGGAGGTTACAATTAGGTATTGCCTTTTCAAGAAAAACAAAAATATGCTGGTTGGTCATGCTTATGTGCATTCTTTCCTCCGTGCACTCTTTAATATTCAAGCTAAAGCTCCACTTACTGTTTAGGTGTTAACTTAGCTTTGGTTTTCCTCGTCTCGTCTCCAGCACTAATCTGACTTAAATGTTTACCGTCGTCTATGTCGAAGTGAGCACGCGGTCAGGTCAAGTCAATCTCTTCCAATTAAAGCTTATATCTGTTTAGACGTGTATCAATTTTATTGCTGAGAGGTTTTCCAGAAAAAAAGCTAAATGAGACGGTGCGGGGAACCAATGTCACAGTCTCGCTCATGTGACACCGGTGATATGCTCACCACAACAATTCTAATTGTATCTGTCCCAGAGCAAGTTGTGTCATATCTATATGTTTTGAGGGGTAATGAACCCCGTCTATTGCTCGCTGGTAAAGTATGTAATCCATCACAGTCTTGCTTGGTCAGACCTTGAACTCACAAAGACGAAACCTGTAAAGTGGAGAACTTCCTGAGGTGGGTGATTTTGGATGCACAGCCTTGAGCATTTTCAAAAGGTCTCATTATCGTGGTTCTTTAAAAAAAAAAAGACTGCAGGTCACCGTGAGCTTGAGGATACAGAGTTACGGCTATGTGACATCGTGCTGCAGAGACGCACCACTCACATTATCTCATTACACAGTCAATGACTCATTCCCTCTCACTCCCACAAAGACGCACAAACGAAACATGTTCTTTTCAAAAGCATTCTTTAGTTATGGAGTTTCCTGAGTCCCTCTTCATGACGATTGTTTTCTTAGACATAACTACAGCCCTAATGAGTGATGGCTCAGGTGTCTTCTCAATGCTGATGGCGGATGTGAGTTCTGGTAGGCACTAGGCAGAGTGACAGGGACAGGTGGGATGCAGTTTGGCAATGATTTCTTGCCAGACGTGATTCACCGGTGTGCAGTGCCAGGTGGCGTGGATGTAGTTACAGCAGGTGTGCTGAACACAATTTTACATTCTGTAAAAAATGTTTAGCATCCTACACTCTGGAAGAGAAATTAGTTATCCTTATATGTATGAGTTGTACGTATAATTAGACATATAGAGTGGGAATGATCGACAGGTCTTGATTTATTTATTGATGAATTAAGTTTTAGTAAAGATGAGATACTAATGAGTTCAGTTAGTGGTAGGGGGATGGTCTTAGATGCTTTTTCTTTATGTTGACTGCAACCCAGATAAAGGATATGAACTGCAGATATTCAAGAAAATGCTACAACTGAATCACAGTTTCACAGAAGCTTTGACAGAATCAATTCTGGAAATCTATCAGTGCAATGATCGCTGTGACAGTCCCAACAGGGAACATTGCATTGTTCTTAATTGGAAAATGAGTACGGTAATTGGAAAACATGGTGCTCGTCATGTCAAATAATGTCAATTAAAAAGACTCATTCATGATTTATTACATTAGGTCAGTTTTCACAGACTGGTCCTTGGGGTATGAGAGAATTCAGTCAACACTTATCAGAGCGATTGTGTTCCCACACACACACACAAACAAACAATAATTCACGGCACAGATGAAAACAAACGCACAAGTTGAGATTGGTGAAGGAAAACAGACATACACACAAACATGCATATCACGGCCTAATTAGAATAACTACTGCCAGCATTGTATCACAATGGGACGGAAAGAGAGCTTAGCTCTGAAGTGCCACACACACACACACACACACACACACACACACACACACATACACACACACACACACACACACACACACACACACACACACACAGAAACACACACGCACAGTACATGCACAGCAATGGTTATTCAGCTCAAGCAGGAGAACAACCAAAAAAGGATTAATCTAAAAAAGAAAAAACATTTGGGGACAAGTATGTCAACAGTAATTTCCATAGAGCAATCCCTTCTTGTATTGAAACATTAAATCAACACAAAGAAATGTTGTGTTGTGGTTATTACATAAGCCCTAAAATAAACAAGCCCATTTAAGCTTCAATTTGCCAATTAAGACTTTTTCAATACTAACAATAGATAATGCACCAACAAAAAAAGTGCTATGTTATTAGAACGCTCAAATTACAATAAAAACTTTGGACTTTTTGAGGTTTATTGTCAAAAATGTGAAATGTTGACATATTGGTGGTGCTAAATGATGAAATGTCATTAACTGTTTAATTTGCCTGAGTTAGAAATAAACTGCTCATGTTGTATCGCCCTTGAGATAAATTAAAATGTATAGCTTTATATCTCTATATCTCTGCCTTGAGCAGAATGCTAACATCAACATGCTAACATGCTGACAATGACGGTGTTAACAAGCTCATGTTAAGCATCTATATTGTTTACCATTCTCACATCAAGTGTGCTTCGTCATAAACCCAAATATTGGACGTATAAAGATTTTATCCGATTATGTTAGTGGATAAATAGTCGGGGATCACAAAAGTTATTACAAGTCAGACCGGCATTGCCATCCCGAGAGCCATGCTGTTAGCAGTCCATGAGCGTTCCACATACAGCAGTGCTAGCGGCCCATAGGGGCAAGAATAAATGGTAAAAGAATAATATTCATCCTCGTCAACCTTAATCCATCCAATCCATCTAATAATGGTTGAGATATTTCAATCTGGATCAAAGCATTAGACCAACAGAGTGACATTTCTCTACTGTAATCCCCACAATAACCCCCTTCACACCTTTATTTTTGTGAGTAATCACATTAGGACAAATAACTTAATTAACAAATGTCTTGCAAGAGCAGTGTGAGGGATTCATCTTTTTCTTAACAAGGAGTTAACATTAGCATAATGAAGAGTAACATCCTGACAGATAAAAGCTCCACAGAGACTGACCATCATATAAACAATGATATTCTCCATCTAATGGACATTGTGCTAGACTTGCCAAATGATCAATCAGCAATGAATAGTAAAGTTATCCGTCTGTATTCTCAACAGGTCTTAGGGGCGAAGAAAACACTTCTTAATAAAGCCAGATTGTGTCACTAAGAGTATGCAAATAACTTGTAGCATGTGCTTTTAATCTTCTCAGACAACCAGGTGGGAGGGATTTGGTGCATGCAGACATCAAACAGAGTCTCCTGAGCTGTCCATCAAATAGTATAGCTCAGTAAGTATTGTGCTATATGGATAACCTCACCCATTTGGAACTATAGTTTAAAAAAGTGCGACTCATTTGTTTACATCAACTTGTTTTAGATCTTGACTGAAGCTGCATCCAGCAGTCAAAACTATTTATGAACTCGGTATTCAAATATGTTAACACAAATTCCTCCACAGCCAAATTTGTTAAATGATTTGTATTGCTTGGAAATGAAGTAATTATTGAGAGTGGTTGTGGGAACAAACTTTTTCTGGTTATGTTAGTCACACCAGAGGTAGCCAAACATTTCTGCAAGAGAGTTTTTGGGCTTTTGGGCAAAAACTCCAGAAGAGAAAAAGATATAAAGAGAAAAGAAAGTGAGAACGAAATGGCTGGAACACTGTGGCAAGGTACAAGAGAACGGTCAAAATTATATAAAAAGGAAAGAAGAAATACAAAACCATTTGGAAGGGAAATAAGTTAAACGTTACAGAAAGAAATGTAGAAAAAGAAAAATATACAACATTGAGTTTGAATATTGGCTCTTTTGAAGGTATGACACAAAAATATAAAGACTCATCCACGCACTCCTTGAGTGACAAACAGCCACCAGGAGACAAACATCAGAGGAAGAAGGGAACTAAAAACTCCAATCTGGCTGTGATGTCGCCCATTCATCAGGGCCGGACTCAGACCAAGGTGTTGAGTCAGATGGGGCAGAGTGGAGCAGGGTCAGAGTGACGGATGCTCTCTGGCTAGCACTCACTGGAAACCCATACTGCTGATCCACAGCTAATAATAGACAATCCACTGACAGACACAGAGTGGAAGGCATGCTCTCTCAGCTCTTTGTGAGCTTGCAAAAACAAAGGTTTTATGGCCTCTGCTCTTTGTCTGTACCTCTGCTGGAAACTTTGTTGCTGTCCGGGGGCCAGGTTTATGTCCCGATCTGCTGACATACCTGCAGTTTGACAGCATGTACAACTGACAAAAGCTGCCGTCGTTTGAGTCAAAACCATTTCATTATTTCCCTTATGTGCACCCTGCATGCTGACGCTGTGTGAGTGCAAGAGTCGTTAAAAATGAGCCAGGAATTCTGGAGTTGACATTATTCACAAAAAGCATTTCTCTGTCTCCTTTGAAATATGAGAACATAGACTGCCTTTCACTTGTTTAAAACACCCACAAATTCCCATCAAAACTAATATATTCTTTAAGACACGCTCATTCCAAAGCTTGAATCCATCACTGCTGGTCTGCTGGCTTAGTCTGCTGTTGAAAAGGAGAAGAGGAAAAGCCCCCTTGTTCATTTCACTCAACAACTTTAATACGTGGCGGCAAGCTTCTAGGCAAGTAGTATTCGAATTAAAGCACACAGCAGGAAAAAGAGTGCACAGCGGGAGGAATATAGTTTGCAATGGATTAAATAGATGTAAAAACCTATTTTACCCTACAGTATTATTGGCAGACGCTATACAGAATTGAGTTGGCACACAATCATGATGGCAAATAATTCCAATTGTACCAACTACATGTAATATCAATAGCTTATAATTAATGTGGAATATATGTTTAAGTGCAGAAAGGAGCTAAGCCAGTGAAACACATCTATGTCTTCGGAACAAATTAGACCCATGTTTCCAACCATCTCGATGTTAGACATTTAGTTGAGCCTTCAGTGACTCTGTAATCATTCCCAATTGAAACAGCAAAACCCACCACATAACTAAAAGCACAGACTCGTGTCATCAAGTACTCAAGTAAATCCCTCTAAATAAACACCAGAGGCCTTACCCTCTGCCTGGACTTTCTCTTCTCTTGTTAGTTTGCTGTGTTCGAGACGTTTCTGGACATCAGCCTGTGGGCAGTGGGTGTGAAGCCCCCCCCCCCCCCCAATAACAGCACGCAGGCGAGGTCGGGACCTTATACAATGGTCACATGCTGTCTCCGTCTCTCTCCTCTGCTCTCTGTCTGTGTCATGGATGTATGAAGAGCTGCAGCTCTGTGTGTCTGTTTGACCAAAAGTAAGGGTAAGCGCCCCCCCCCACCCACACACACACACACACGCAAAGCAGAGAGACCACAGAGTGTCGATTCGGCTGCATTCACACAAAATCCGGCAATGCGGAACCTTCCCACATTGTTGTGCGTAGGTCAGAAAATAAATCAGAAATCACAAAATAATGTCATTTTCTAGACCGCTAGACTGCCGCTGCTCTTGCTTTCTCTCTCTATCTCTTTACTCGCCAACTTTGAATGTTGTGTTTACAAGAGTATGTGAGAATTGCTGCAGATCATACTTTTAAGTGAATATCATAACACCATTGATATCAAGATGATGTATTTCTGTCCATACCACCCACCCTTACCCTCACAAAGCCCTGGTGTGTTCCACAGCGTTCACTCTTCACTCTACAGCCCTGTCTACAGCAGTAATAATAGAAAAGTCACAGCCCAATCATCATAACCACATTTCAGCAGTGATGTCACACAGGAGAACACAGAGGTTGTCTTCAGTGCCCCTGAAGGCTTGTCAGGGGGCAAATTAATCTTTAAATATATCCGACTCTAATAACCATTTGGATGCATTAGCCATGGGAATAACCCCAAGACATTCCAAAAGAGAGGAAAGAACGGCTGTGTGTTGCAGGCTCTTTCTCCTCGTCAGTGTAAATCAGAGTGAATGAAATGAGGAGCGGCCCCCGCTCACTCAACCCCCGGTCTCTGGAGAGGTGTAACTGTAGGGGTTTGGGGAGAAGAGATGAGCTCCCCTGAGAGATTCAGTACTCGAGAATGTAATGCCCTAGGAGCAGCAGGAGGATATTAGCTTATCTGACAGAGGGAGACAGGGCAAAGAGAGGAAGGGAGAAAGACGGAGAGACAGACAGAGAGCGAGAGAGAACTGTACAGACTGAACATACAAAATCCACTCTCCTAGTTGTGTCTATGTAGTCCTCTGTGACTCTTGTTATCTCAGCGTGCTTACGGCACCTCAGCACTGCCAATGAGGTGAGCACCAGCATGAGTGTTACAATAATCTTATTATCTTTAACAGGCGGTCTGACTCTGCGTCTAAGAGCTACGGACACCACTGTATGATTATTCACATGTGTGCATGTCTGACCGCAACCATTCAGTCAGTCTAAAAGTGCTACTATATGAGATTGGGAGCATTTCTATTGCTATAACTTACATAGCAAATAGTTGTTTGCTGCTTTAATAATGCCCTGGATATCTAATTTAGCACCTGAACCCTAAATGACAAGTTTATAAATGAGATCTCCTATTAATATTCAGATGCATTCGTAAAAGCATAATCACATGGAGTAAATGGAAATGGAAAGATTTTTTAAAACCAGCATAAACAACACAGGCTGTAATACATTTTATCACATCTATTACGGAACATAAAACAATTGAATTACAGCAACTATGTTAGTGGAGATAAGATTTTGTATGAACACTAATCTGGTAACAGATAACAGATATGGTCTTGGTTTGACACATGCCAGGTCCAGAGAGATCTGAGCAGCTCTGACACTGTGTCTCTTTTTTTATTGTCATGTTGTCTTTTATTTATAGACACACACTATTGCCTCTGGGGAAGCCAATGAAGCAACGTGACTCAGCGCTTTAAAAAGGTGGACCTTTTACAAAATGTTTCCCTTTTTACAACTGCAAAATGCAAGCGCAATCACTGAAATCTGTTACAGAAGAGAGGAAATAGGGGAGATTTGCCTACCTCATCGTAAGTGTAGCGACAGTCGGCCTTCTTTGATTTCAGATCCCAAAGGGCCACGATCCCAGACTCAAATCCAATTATAAGCTGGAGAGGAAGAGCGACAGGCAGTCAGTGAGATAGGTAGGAGAGATGACAGAGAGGAGATAGAATAAGACCCCATGATGGGCGGAAAAAGAAGTAATACATTTGACATTATCACGCAGCATGAAAGGAGGTCAGGTGTAAGCAGACTGTGGTGGCTCAGGGAGAAACCTGCCCACCCTGGGTCACAAGAGATGATGCTAAAAGATTTTTATTTACAACATAAAGTGTGAGTTCTTTTGAGGATTCATTTATAGAAATTCAAATGTGTGAATAAAGCAGATCAACTGAACATAATGGTCCCTATTGTGTCCCATGTGCGCAGGGACAATGAGGCCGTATTCAAGCCCCTTATTTGTGATCATATGAACACAGCATGTTCTGTGTACAAAAGTCAGTTAAAGTGCAATATATATATATATGAGATGGTGTGGTGAGTAATCGTTCTCAGCCAGTCTCCTTATTCATATTGTTAAAAATCTATTCAAATCACAGTGATATAAGAGAAAAATGGCTTAACCAAAATAGCGAGCTAATATCGAGAGTATTCAGTATAGAGAGAGCAAACCAGCCTCAAGTTAAGATTTTAATACAGTCTATACTGTATATTCTCACTGCAATATCAAATACTGGACCTTACTGTACTGTTTATAGATTTGCTGTTTGGGACTGCTATTGGAGAAAGGATGACATAGAGTATACATTTTTCGTATATTTACATGTGTGTATGTGGACAGAGAAGTGTTGTCGTTTACCTTTCCTTCATCCATCGGGTTGTCACTTATGTGCACAACTGGTCCAGGGTGAGCCTTGGAGGACCTTATGAGAGAGACAAAGAGAGAGAGAGAGAGAGAGACATATATGTTTTTTCTCAAGTTGTGATGCAGTGCTCCGACATTAAAACTAAGGCCATGAACGTATAGTTCTCACGTAGTGGTGTATGGAGAGGGCTATGGTGGAAAGCAAGTGTCTTTGAACCTGTGTAAGGGGTCCGCCAGGGAGGACAGATCTGCCAATCACTCCAAGGCACTAAAAGGCTGTTCAAAGACATAAGCTCAGTTAAGGTTGTGATGGATGGCACTGTCAGGCCAGGCAGTTCCTAATGGCTGTGCATGTGCGTGCGTCCATTGCTGTGTGTGTCCATTTGCATGTCAGCGGAGACAGCACAAAATGCCCGGCTACCCCCTCCTCTCCTCCTCCTGTCTGTGATTTACCCTCCAGACAGCCTTATGTCAAATCTCCTCTCTCAGCGTGCCACGTGGCTGCAGAATTTACCTAACCTGCCCTGCCTTAAAGAGATGATGTGGCTGCAGAGCGCCAGAGAAGGTCACAGCTGAAAAAGAGTGACTGTAAGAGCCTGGAACATAACCCCAACACCAGGGAGCAAGGGCAGGGGTGCCCGAAAAAGGAGAGGGAAAGTAAGGAGCGGCAACCAAATGGAAGCAATATAGAAGGAGATCATGAGTTTCTTTTACTCATCTGTAAGTCTGACAGTGAAGGACAAGACATGCTGGGGACAATAGTAAGTATAAAAACTGTACTGTTCTGGATTGAAATGCTCCCTGTTAACCGGCCTTCCCCCATCTCCATCCCCTAGTAGCAGAGAGAGCGTAGGGGAAGAGAGGTTGTTTCATTGAATATGTTAATCTAGTCTGCCCGACTCATTGATCCTTTATCTGACTGAGGTTTGTGCCAGTTAGAATCTAAGGGCCCGACCATGGCTCTGGAATATGAGTAGCCTAACGGTGCGGAGTACCGATGAGTCCATTGCGCTGTCCGTGGTGCTGAAGTAGCAGAAGGATTACACTCTAAACTTGATAGTAAGTGGGGGGCGGGGGGGTTGGACAAAACCATTTTATTGCACTGCCACATTTAAATACAGAGAGCACTGTTTTCATGTTGCGCTACATTCCTGCTGGTGTAAACATATTTACATCAATATAAGACTTAAAAATAACTAAATCAATTTGTCAGTTGCATTCGGATCATGTTAGAAATGAACAAATCACCTATTGAGTACAAGCAAGGGACCAGAGAAGGATAGCATCTACTGTGTGTCTGTGTGTGTGTGGGTGTGTGTGTGTGTGCGCGCGTTAAAAGGTAGCAGTTAGTGGGCAGGCAGGCAGTCAGTCAGTTGTCTCTATATTTAGCCTGTTTGTGCCAGAGCCTTATTACCTAAGCTCTGCTGCAGCTGGAGCTGTTGATTTATCTAATCCCCCTTCACTGCCTGTCTCTCAGCTAACAGTCGTCCATAGCAGAACGCCCATGCACGCACACACACACACACACAGATTTGCATGTCGGCACAGTTAAGAGACATCTTAACATCCACCCCATTTGTAAAACCCACATCCATAACAAACAATTACCCTCCTGTTGAATTACAAAATGCAACTTGCATAAAAGGCCGCCTGTCCCACGTGGTTTATTTCCTGTCGTTTCAGGATTTCATGCACAATGTCCTCCATCTGCCCCCGTGAGACTCCACACACAAATCTGGTTTGTTAAAACCTGTTGTTATACAGTAAATAAATCTGACATGAACACATTCTCAAAATGCATGTTCAGGTTTGGAGATGAAGGAGTCACCATGGCAACAGAGGCAGAATGGGCAGAGAAAAGACAGGCTCCCAAAACACACACACACACACACACAGACACACACACACACAGACACAAACAACGCCTACCTACCTACTTCAACACGCTCCTGTAAGCACACGATTCTGACTGCGTACTGCTAATGACTCTGCGTTTTGCATACAAAGTAAAAAGAAAGGTCTTCGGGGACAAGAGCGATTGAGTACGAGTGTATAAAGGAACATGTGTGTCTCTGACAGCTTTTGCATGTTCATAAAGATAGACGTTTTAGTGTTAATGCACACTACTCTATTTATATCTATGCATACTCTAGGCATGTCATTATGGCATCATTCACAGTTATGGGGATCACATTCTTGTCTTACAACTACTGATTCAAGGTCTTTTATGTCTCACACACACACACACACACACACACACACACACACACACACACACACGACTACTCGAGTTAAACTAAATGCCTCATGGCAAATATAACACTTAACATATCCGTCCCCTTGGCACCTTCGGTTCAAAAAAGTCATATGCTATAAACCTTTATTGCACCAAATCCTTCTTTGTATCTCAAATATTCATCCGAAACACAGTGATGCATTCAGGACCTTAAGGAAAATGGACCGTTTGTATGTGTGCACACACAAGCACCATAGAGGAAATGTCGATGACACAGGGGGGATGTTAAAGCAAAAGGAAGGGTCCACCTCGCAGAATTTGAAAACATCTCTTCGGTGCAGGCACGTATGCGATTACACACACAAAATAAACAACAATGTGTGAATACAGAAATACACAGACACACTTGTACAGTGTCACACACATGCACAGTGAAGTCCTGAACATCTGGCGTCACCACGGGTGACACACACCGTGAGGCAGCAGAGGGGCAGTCACCATGACAATGTCTCGGCGGCGACATGTTTGCAGCACGGCCATTACTGTAAGCGGCCTCATGATTGTGTGTGTGTGTTAATGCATAGGATACACATGTTCCAGATGAAAAAGTGCTGACCCAGCTGTACAGAGTACATGCAAAGGTTTCCAGTACATGAAAGAACAAAACTTTAATACTAAATCCTCTGACCAAAACAGTAGCTCTTTGCATTAGAGCCCCTCCTGCTGTGGGCCGATAAGGCCATTGACTGCTCAGCCGTGACACACAGAATTCTGCTCTCTGTTTAAAAGCTTACTGAAAGACAGCAAGAGCAACAGAAACAACCATTATGTGATGTGCTGCAGTTAAAGTAGTTTGATCATTTGGGAAATAAGCTTGTTCACTTATCTGTCAGTTAAGTAGGGGATAATGACCTTCGAGGTGTCCATAATCAGGAATTAATAGATCTGGCCTCCCCTCAGTCCATTAAATCCTTGGACACCTCGAAGGACATTATCCTGCTTATACCATGTACACTTGCCAAAGAAAATTAAGACCATTCATTTGTAATTTCATATGAAATCAAATTTTGTTTTACTGTATTACACTACTGTCTGTCTTATAATGGGTTATCTTGAAGTTGTTGCGGATCAGACAAGTCTGATTGCTGATTTGCAGCAAAAATAAAACTAGGAAAAAAAGAAAAGAATATGGAGGAGAGAATTTTTGGGGAGACACAGGAAGCAAGGATTGTCTGTTCAGAGAGTTGGAGGAAGGTAAATAAATAAATTAAATTTCCCTCGCCCCATATCTTGTCCTCTCATTGGCTTTAGTCCGTCGCTGCTGTCATTGCCTATCAGAATCATTTTCACACAACAGGATTTGGATTCTTAGAGAGGTCCAGATCTTTAACATGCTAGATATCTCTCAGGCGTCTGTAACGAATCGGCACATCTCTCATATCGAGTTTTTGAAAATTCCCACACAGGAGCGAGATTTGAATCTGAAACAAGGCCTTTGTAAGCAATCATCAAAAACTGTCGGCGAGTGGAAAATCAGGGCTAAAAGTGTGTAGCGTAAACTCGTCAGTAGAGGTGTTGCTAAGCTGATTTGGCTGTTTTCCCCCGCTTCCTGTCTCTAAACTAAGCTAATCCAAGCATACCCTGGCTGTACCTAGCTTCATATCTAACAGATAGATATGAGAGTGGTGTTGATTTTCTTTTTTGTCTTTGGACCAAATTTGTCTCCAGTCTCTCCTGATACTGCTGCTTATTTAGGTTTATTTATGTATTAAACTTAACAAAATAGAGAAGTTAATTTATTTAGAATCCAAGATGGCACCTTATGAATGATGACATGATCGCTTACTAATGTGCAAAATGCACAATAAGTGACTGCAAATCTTTACACTGTACGGATTGATATTATGTGAATCCTCAAAATGTTTTGTAATTTTCACCTTTCCAAGTGCATAGGGTGTTGGAAGGCTGGGTCCCCCAGGAAAGGTCACTGTTCCGGGCCTCCACCTGCAGCCTCCCCAGGCTGCAGCTGGAGGCTGGGATGCTTCCCTGGTAGGGCACTGCTGTACCAGCTGAGGACCACCCATACGTAGAAGCATGAAAAATTCAAACAAGTAATTACAAAGTCCTGAGTGGGAGAAAATAAAAGAGAACAGAATAGGCCTCAGGCCAGCATGTTCACCTGAACTATGTGTCATAGCACGCTGTTAACATTTTACCACTCCTGTCCCACTTCTCTCCGGCCCTCTGTACCCCGGTGACCATCTAGCTGAATCAAATCAAACACACACACACACACACACACACACACACACACACACACACACACACACACACACACACAGATGCTGCCAGGTACAAATCTATAAATATTCTCGCATATACAGTGCATACATAAAAATGTAATTTGAACAAACACAGATTTCCTTAATGCCTAAAGCACTGACTTAACTATAGCGCCATGCAGTTGGTTATGTACTGTAATATATGTGAGTCATACAAACGCACTGAGCACTGGGCCGGGCCGGGCCGGGCCAGGCCCGGCCAGGCCTGGGGCCACTGGCACAGCTACTGCAGCTTGTCTCCAAATAGTAGGGCCCAAGGGATGATGACCCCGGTACACAGCGTATTCTAAGCTCATTACAGCAATGACAATAGAACAGAGGTGCAGGAGGCTGGGCTTCAAATAAAATCTTGAAATGCTTTAAATAGCACTACATGTATTAGCTCCAGTTTATGACAATAATACTGATGTAGACAACTCTGAGTGTTCAGCTGATGATACTGAAATATGACCTAGCTTAGAAATGCAAGTCTGCAACACCAACAACATTTTGTTGAGTCACAGCACAGGTTCCCAGAGCCCGATGGGGCATCTTCAACACGCTTATTTTAACAGTTCAAAACCTAATGGTAATCAATTTATGATGATAAAAAACAGAGAAAAGCAGTCAGCATTTTTCCTCAATAAGTTATTTAAACAATGAATCAACTCTAAAAGAAAATAATTGTTACAGTAATTCCAGTTAATTTAGATCAAGCGCTATCTTCTGACGACGACAGCGTCGGAGAAGAACAATGGGAAAGACACAGAGGCTTTTGTACCTGGACTACCGCCACCCTACCAACCCCACAGCTGGCAAAGAACAAAAGAAGAGAGAACAAGAGAATCAAATCACACCGCTCTGATCTGGGTCAAAGCAAACCACAGACACACACTCATACATATAGACATACATGCAAAGTGAGAGCTTCTGTAACGAATACATGAATCAATTGCTGGCACTGCCGCCATCTTCAAGACATAGTATCCCACAGAATACTATGTGTGAGTGATTGTGGCCTGAATGGAAACAACAATACGTCAAAGAAAGTGTTGAGGTTAAACAAAGCTGTTGCATGTTCATTTTTGGGTGGCTTGAAGAAATGGAGGTAAGGTAGAGATGTATACGGTTAAAATATATATATATATATTAATGTTAGCAGCTTCTGCAATCTGTGGTGTAGAGAAGGGGATTTTGAGGCCGGTTAAAATGTTCACTTGCAGGCTGTGTGGCCTTTTGTTTCATGTAGAAAGTGACATACGGTTCTATTTCTAATTCTAATACAAACGGCAGTGTTATGGAAAGGACTAATCTCCCTTTCAGCTTATTGAAGCGAGAGGTTATGGTTGATGTAGTCAAAAAGGATTCGTCATCAAACCAGAAAATAGATGCTAACACATTCTTTGGAATTTGCTGAATATTAATGAAAATATCAAATGTATCAAATGTTATATTTTTGCAGGATCAGGATACTGACTCAACCCTGAATTCAAGCAGGATTGTTTTCATTTTTCTGTCCGCTTTATAATTTTAGAAAGATTTAGTAATGTTGCATATAAAGCACCATGAACGTACGCATCCTTACAGCTGAAATGGTAGATTTCTTTGGGATGTTTTCAATTTACACTTTTTTGTGCTGGCTAAGTTTTTGGCAGGTCGAACCGGTCATCGTCTAAGTGCAGTGTTTGGGGTATGATACCGGATTTACCTCATTCTTAACCTCAAATTACCGGATATGGCCAGTCCCTTGCACGGTTACTTGCCAAATGTGTGTGTGTGTGTGACGGGTGAATGAGATGCTAAAAGCGTTTCATAAAAGCAGTCCATTATTTCAATAATTGTATGTTGATTTAATCATTATTCACTTTCTGTACATTCAAAAGATATTCTTATAACCTTTTTTGAGAATATTCTAGATTGTATTAATTTTCACTTTTCAAAGAGAGAACTTTGTCAAAAGCTGTGGAATGGAGGAGGAATTTTGAAATAATATGAGGATGAGAAAACATTGACATGTAGGTGAAACAAGGTGAAGAGGAGTGAATGGTATACCGTCAAGCTGAAGGAAAAACAAAGAGAATGCAGTCTAGCAAAGAAAAGTGTAAGTTATTGCTTGTCCTTTAGTCAAGAAGAACTCCTGTATCTACCTCTCTATCTTATCATCCACATCTACCCTCTTTCTCATCATTATCACTCCTTGCTCTCCTCTTCTGCCCTTTTTTTATTTAATCGAAAACCTTTCCACCTCTTTATCCTCATTTCTCCGCACACCCTCATCTCTTCTCTGCCCTCTGTTACCTGCAGGTATCCCTCTGTCACCACTCCATTCCTCTCCTCCATCACCTTCCTCCTCTGCATGTCCTTTACCCCAGGCAAAAGCCCTGTCTCATCCATTCCACTCCAGTCTTCTCTGTCATACACTCCCCCCCCCCTCCCCCCTCCTCCTCCTCCTCCTCCTCTCTCCCACCACTCACTCTCGCCTTTTCTTCCCTGCAGCCCTGTCGACAAGACGAGACGTCTGCGTGTACCATACACTGATCTCAGCAGACACCTGTTCCACCCCCTCCCTCCTCCCTCCATCTTTTCCCTCTCTCCTCACCCGCACACACATGCAGAGAAGTGGATGAGGGGCAAAGCGTGAAGCAAAACGCTCCAGTGAATAATTTAAGTCTCTACAGCAGGGAACCAAAATGGAGCCTGTCAAACTTACGGATCCATTGAAACAGCAAAGAGACAGGTCGCTCGCTACCTGGAGTCCGATACGGTGCCTGGAAGTGATAGACTGACTAATGATTCTTTCTTATCTCATTACATTTAAGTTACAATAACCTGTTGAAAGGTAAAATGCTGATTACACTGCATCGCTGGCCTCACTTATGTGCTGCAAGGTGAGTAAATAGACCCTGGGATCAATGTTGCAGTGCTGCTGATATGAGTTTGATTCCCACAGAGTTCAAATATTGATCTGCGTATCGGTGATTCACTGTGGAGAACCCCCTCCATACTGCACAAAAACCTGCACAGCAGCATGCCAAGTTGTGCAGCCTTTGAAGAAGAAGAAGAAGAAGAAGAAGAAGAAGAAGAAGAGCAAATGTGAGAAACATTCAGGGCATTAAGAGTGGGAGGCAGCATCAGAGGGTGACACGTGGGCAGTTACACTCACAGTTCAATGGCTTTGTTCCACATGATGACATAGCCCGAGAGCATAAAGGACTCCACGTTGACGAGGTGGATGTTCCCTCGTTCTGTGCCGATGTACAACCATTTACTCTGGAAGGGCAGGTGGCAGAAGGTTATTCTGTGAAGAGAAGGAGACACCAGTTAAAAGAGTAGAGCAGAGAACGACAGAGGAAGAGGAAGGGTGGACCAGGTAGAGCCAAGAGACAGAAGCTTCTTGAAAAATCACTCAGCGGCCTATTATAACGGGAGACAAATTATGCAAAACTGTGAGAGGATTATTTACCACTCCATCAGGTCGAAGCAGTCGAGATGAGAGTGGGAAACCAAAGAGACTTTTGAGTCATTCAATCAGCGAACCGTCTATCCAGACCTACAGGGTACATGAGGACAAAGACACTCCTAAAACTCTCCTGTCTTCGTCATCGCTTGCACATCTCCTCCTTTCATCAATCCATCAGACTTAAGTTTAATGAGGGGTTACGAACCCTTCCCTCCTTAGCTGTGGCTATCCATTCATCTTTCTCATTCCTTTTTCATCATTTTTGCTCTTTCATCCATCTGAGGAATAATAATATACAACCTTGGTAATTCGCCTTGCTAATAATTCAAGGTCGCCAAGCTCCTCCAGCGATCCTTTTTATTCTTGCACGGTGCTTTGAGCTAGACCTGTGGACTTCAGAGGCCTGCATCTATAAGACAGCGCGCCCCCGGCTCATCAGCTGGGACACACCACCCAAGTAGGGAGATAAATGAAGTTGTATCCATCTCTTTCTTCTTTATCCATTACTTCCAACCTGGAAGGACACGCTGGGGTATTTCCTCTGCGTTCATGACAGACTGGCTCGTATTTAGCAATGGAATCACTCTGCACAGCAAGTTTAATATCCAAATGTAATATCTGCTGTCAAAGACGCTTTAACTAGATACAGTATGTCAAAAAAAATAAAATAGTGTGTATTCTTTTTATAATCCGATGAGATGAGATCTTGTCAGAGATGAATTAATATAACTGGCATTAAACTGAAGACCAGGCTCTATGCAGTATTCAAGGAGAGATCAAAATAACCACTTTCCCCATGCTTCCATTACGCTTTCCAAACTACATAACATTGCAACCATGTCTCCAAGCAACTACAGTATATGTAATAAGAAAAGAAATATCAACATCATAAACATCAACGTGTTGAGACCACATTTCAATTAAATAAATATGCAAAACATTCACAATCAACAACATTCAACAATCAACTACAATATCCACTCCTAGCAACTAAAGAATAATTAACATGTTAAGGGCAAGTAAAAGCACCTGGTTAATAGGGAAAGATTCTTCTTCCTGAGATATTAACCACATGTTAGTAGCATAAAACTAAAAGAATGTGGGATGCAGGACTCAAACTCTGGTCTCTGAGTCTCTGGTATGAAAGTCACGTGAAGTGTAAGAAAGTGACACTTCCTGGACTTGAAAAATGCTGCAAGGGATCCTCGCAGCAATATATGTTTCCTCCTGAACATATTTGGCAAAGGATGCTAGCAGTATACAGTATGGATGTATTTTGTAGTAGAAAGGGTCAAACAGAAACCTTGCATTATACTGTATAAATATACATACACTCAATAGCACAGCAACACGTGGATTTGTGTAAACATGTCCTTGCAGTGACTTTGAGCGTATGTGTGTTTTAATGCGCAGAAAGCCTCTCTCCCTTTCTCTCCAGCTCTCCCTTTCTCTCTCTCTCTCTGAGTCTTTCAGATTGTTGCTGCAGGGCTGTATTGAGAGTAGCAGCTCCTACTACAACACACACACACACACACACACACACACACACATACACACACACACACACACACACACACACACACACACACCGTCCTCCTCTGCCTCAATGCTCTGCTCTAAATCATGAATATATTCATTTTTTGGGAGGAATTGGGCTACTTGACATAAATCTCATCCACACAGTGCAAAATCTGCACAGAGACACTCAAAAACACTCAAACACACTAACCTAGATTTACATACAGCATTTACAAACAGGAGTATGGTCTGGCTTAATCAAATATGAGAGTAATACCGTAAGTGAGTTGCACATGCTCATTTAAGCCTCATCTGATGAGGCAAGCTGACCATGAGCATTATTGATACACTACCAATGTGCTTTGCAAAGAATATGTTGGAGGAAACGTAATTTGTAGTTATTCAAATTAGTTGTTCATGAACATGATATTTAGGGTTGCAAGAGCACAAGATGACTTACTACTGTACCGTGAACAGTTGATCATTGAGACGCACACGCTCAGACTACAGACTCACTACAGATGAGGTGACTAAGAGCTACATGACTTTTCAGGACGACTTGTGGCGGACTGTCAACTGGAATTCATTTGCTTTTCCATCTGCACAAACAGATGTGCCTCATCTATGCATATGAGGGCTTGAGTGAGTGCATGGTGCAACCATGTGTACATGCTTCTCAGCAACTGATTTGAACTCATGTAATTACATAATATGTACCGTAAATGTATGTTGTATACAGGCGGCAACCTCCGGTTCTGCCGAGTGAAGCCGATGCGGAAGAGTCTTAAAAATTGCATTCTCTCTACTGACCAGCAGGGGGCGACTCCTTTCGGTTGCAAAGAAAAAGTCAAATTGTATGGAAGTCTATGAGAAAATGACTACTTCTCACTTGATTTATTCCCTCAGTAAACATTGTAAACATGAGTTCATGGTCTCAATCACTAGATTTTAAGTCTTCTTCAATACAGCATGATGTTCATTTAGTACATTATAGTCCATTTAGAGTAAAATAGTCCATAAAGTGGAGTAGGCTTTAGGGCGGTGCTTACTGTGATTGACACGTCGCTGCCAATACTAGAGCCGTATACGGCGTCTCTACGTCACTCCTCCGCATTCCAAATATGCTAAATTACATTCATTGGTTGCGAAAAACAACATGGCGACAGCCGTAATCCAACACGGTGATGGCGAAATCGGCAAAGTCGAGGCTTCAAAACAGCGGTCCACAAACCAATGGGTGACGTCACGATGACTACATCCACTTCTTATATGCAGTCTATGGTTGTATATAAATATGCTTGATTTGTGTATGTGCGCTCATACGAGCCAGATGATTAAGTGTTCCGAGAGCCAGTATTCAAGGGCCGACTGAGAGGCAGTGGTAGGAAGCATAATTATACAAATGTGCTCGCAGTTTAGCAATGTGTGCGTTTCCATTTCTTTTTGTGTAAACTAATTGTTTATGTGCGTGTCATTGTGTTCACACCTGTTGCGCACGCACGAGTGTCCTGCTTCAAGTGGTCACGACACACAAAAGGCAGCTGCCAGCTCGCAGGCTCAGGCCCAAACACATTGCCTCGGAAATGACAGACGCCTGCCACACACAAACTCTGAGGTTAACTGCACTGTGGGCTAGACGTATGAGAGCATGGTTCACTGCAAATGAGAAGGGGGTACTTGAGAAAGTCATTGTTTGTAAATGCTTGGTTTTATGTGATGTTCTAATCAAAGAGGACTATTGCAAGTGGAGTAATCTGTGCCTGCCCGTCATTAGAAAGTCACCGTCTGTCCGCTCAAATAATGTTCTAAACTGACTTGATTTAGTTATGTTTTTATTTTTTCAGAACTGCCCTTGAGCAAAGCACTGACCACAAACTGCTGAATGGCTGACAAGACAATAACGTGCGAATGAAACACTATGATTTGGTTCCAGTAATGAGTATGCCATTGCTGCAGCAAAGCCGTAATAGGACTCATAATAGCCCACATAATGAGTTTTAATATTATCAACAAATGTAATGTGTTCAAATATATCTATTAAAGAATCATGCACAATGATGGCAGGGGAAGAGGCGGACAGAAAAAGAACAAGGGTCATGTTTCAAAATAAAATATATATCGCCGTATCGCATATTGTATTGTCATCAAATCTGTGTCTGTTATTTCATCTGGCCAATATTCTCATCAGAGCACAAAGGAGTTTTAGAGTAATGGAGAGTACAGATATTCCTTTCTGCCTGGAACTGGTGATGCAGACAATGCAGAAGACAACAACAACAAAAAGTCGAATAAGTGTTGAAGAGTCTGTGGATGTTGGAGAAATTCACCATCACTGTTGAAGAGAACACAAATCAAATAGACATACAGTATCCATTTGGCAAAGCTCCAGACCAGGTTTTTTTCTAATCTGATGAGAGTCCAGAGACCCCAATCTACGAACAGGTTCTCAATGAAGAAGTATCTTAATTGAGTCACACACACACTCTCTCTCTCTTAAACACTTTCACACTCTCTCTCCACTTTACACGAGCAGAGCACCTGCGAAAATCAATCCGGACCTAGGCCTCGTAATTAAAACAATGCTGAATTCACATTCACAGTTCTTTAATATGCATTTGCACAGTTACAAGGTTACGCTGGAGAAAAAGGGAGTAGCAAATCAGTCGAATATCGTTAAGGAAACTCTAATCTGCTGAATTAATTAAAATTCTTCAAGTATTTCCATTCATTTAATTGATGCACTAGCTTTGTCGACAAACTACAGAGTAGATATTTTAAAGTGGTACCTGAGATTCAAGTTATATAAAATTCCAATATTAAGTTACTAGGATCAGCTTCCAGAAGTCGAGATTCGAGCAGCTAGAATCAAATATATCAAGAATACAATTAGTTATTATTTTGAAATAAAATAATCTAAAAAACCTTACAAAAGAGCAAGTAACAGTAGAGGTCTTATCTATGTTGTCTGTGTATCGGGTGTGTGTGTGTGTGTGTGTGTGGTGACCCTGGCTACCCTCTCTCATCATCTCCCATCATATCACCCTGCATTGACGATAGCTTCCACATCTGCAGTGCATTCCTGTGAGGCCAGGAGGTGACGAGAGCATCCTACGCCAGGATGACTCGGCAGGATTTCTTTTGCGCTCCCTCCATCCCGACACTCCTACCCACAGACTGACTCACTGCTCTCTGGCTGAGGCCCAGTCTGTCTCAACTCCTCCTCTCCTCCCTTCTCTCCTCTCTCTTAGAGCCTGTGATCTGATGTGAATGGATGCTGACGCTGGAGGGCTTTCTGTAACACTGCTTTCACCCATCAACTCGAATACTGATCAGGGGAAGGAAGGCGAGAAGGTGGGAGAGAAGGATCTGTTCCTGAGTATTGGAATGGGCCCTAAGAAGACAGGAAACCTAGAGACTTCAAAAGGGGAATTTGGGTTGTATAGAAAATAAATAAAAAACGTTTTGAAGAAACAGGCCAGTGTAACAACACAGCATACTAGCAATGGGAAAGGAGTCTATCACCTATTTAAGGTGGGTTTTCCTGTGTTTTGAAAACAGCATATATGCACCTATTGGTGGAAAAGGGTATTAATCACTTTCTTGCCGAGAGTAAGGTGAGAAAATTTTAACTAGTCTCATGTCTGTGCATCAAGTATGGACCTGGAGTCAGGAGGCTATTAGCCTAGCTTAGCAGGGGGAAACAGCTAGCCAGTCTCTCTCCAAAGTTAAAAAAAGACTACCCGCTCCTTCGTCGCATGTTATACCCTTCTCTCTCGCCCCCATTTCCAGTGTCTGTCTCTACACTTTTAAATAAAGACAAAAATGCCCAAAAAAAATTTAAAGAAAAGAAGGTGTCAGTCTTCTCAACTCACAGAAAGAAATTGTAAATTTCTCAAAATTATCATAATTAAAATTAATTATTAATTAATTATCTTTTTTTGAATCACCATGGTTAATGATGTACCTAGAATAATGTGGGGAGCACGAGTGTTTCATTTGGCTTGTGTTCCATTTTTCTGTTAGTAGGCTGTCGTGGCAGTTCTGGTTGGGTGACTGTCCTTTTGTTGACAAGGAAATGACTGCCCTGACTAAAGTCAAGCTTTGAACAAACAGAGAGAGGAAAAACAAAGGAGCAAGGGTAAAAAGTGGGAGATGGGATAGAGTGGCAGTGGGTGACTTAAGACTTTTATAGGTTGTACACATCTGTCCAATTCAATCCTGCAACTTGTCTGTCTTAAAACCATCAACACTGCATCGTGGCTTCACTTCAACAGCAATTCTTACCTTCTGATGACACTTCAAGCTGTGATCTTCTAATAACCACGGTGTGCACACCTTTTTTTAGAAATATACAAAGCAGAGAGATATTTATAGCCTTTAGAGCCAGAGGAGATCTTAAAAGCTTCTCAGAGTGCAACACACTTGGCAAAACTGTGTGATAGAGAAGTTGAAATATGATGGACTCAACAAAACCCTGATGGTCCCAATAACTTTGGAGGCTGCTCCTCCGGGCAGCAATTATAATAATGGAGGACTGCAGAGTTGTGTATCAGTTCACAGAGGGGGAAAATGGACTGCTGATCAGCAAACACTTGAATACAATATGATACCAATGTACGGGGGAGATACACGTACCTTTCATATAAACATTTCGTATGCACTGCTTAAGTTAAGAGCCTGAAAAATGTGGTGCTAAGTGAGATTTGTTTGGAAAGCCATAACACTTGTTACAATGCATTTCTAAGAAACAGTTTAATTGCATTGAAAGCAAAAAACATAAATCATTCCAAGCCAATGAGGAGATGAGTAGTCAACAAATCCTACCTGTTATATGCATGCACGTTGGTCACACATAAAGTTAATGTAAAACGTTAATACTTAAGTGTATTTACTTCCATGGATCTATATCAATACCTGCTTACCCCCTGAGAGGCAAACCCAGCCAGAGAATACCCTTGACAGGTTGCCAGTATGTCGCAGGGCTAAAGGGCAACACATACAACGATGTATTACAATCATCAAAGCCACCACGCCCATTATTTTGCGAGTAAGCACACAAAGCGGGTGTTGGAGCCTGACAACATGTCAGGATAAGCACATTTTCTATTTCCCAGCATCAAAGTGCGACAACATCCAAGCAGCATTCACATCCTGGATCAGTATCTATGTGGTGTGCGTGCTATAGGTGTCAGATGATACAATTACTTGTAACGCAGCTGCACGTGTTGTGCTTAAGTAGACAAACCCATTCACGAATAGGCAATTACGTTTCCAGTTCACCTGAGCCTTATGTCTTTGGCATGTGGGAGGAAACCAGTAACCTGATAGAAAATATGCAAATTTGTTGTCATTATTAAATTGAGGGATTCAAAATAGTCACAGAGAGACTCGTATTCTGTAACATCCTCAGGTGAAATTGTCGTCAGGTGCCAAATAGCAGACTGATGTCTAATGCTGAGATCAACTAGTAAGACTGTCTCAGTCATGAGGCTCCATCGTCCTCTTGATATTTTAATGGGAGGAGAAAAGCCAATGAGTGGGACGTCTGATCCCTCTCAAGCCCTCCTCCTGCTTGTGTTACCTGTTCCTCTTCTTTTCTTCTTTCATACAATTCCGTTACTCTCCCTTTCTCAAATCTTCTCGTTCCAATTGACTTCTCTTGAGATGAAGTGACTTCGCTCCTTTCTGCTGCTGCGTCTCGACGTCTTTGCGTTGGACGGCGGTGCTTACTAAATGTCAGAGGCGGTCAAGCGCCTACGCAAGAACACAACGCGCCCTAAAAGACGCTGCCGGCCACCTGTCCATCACATCAGCGCTGTCTCAGATCATTGGCTCTGACGTTTAACCCATTCCCCACTTTTAACTGTGACAGATCACTGGCCAATGGATATGATTGGCTCTGATGGTTTATCGCTGCATCCGTGATTGGAGGAGACAGTGGACAGCAACTTCCTTGAGGTGAGGTGATTCTGCACTTCACTCGTCTTGTATCTCAGAGTTTTGACATTTGCAAATGGAAAATTGTATTCATTTATGCAATGTTTTTTTTAGCTTGTCAGCCAAATATCAGTTCTTGGATATTGGATTGTCCTTGATTAAGCACAAAGGACTGTTTTGAAAATGGCCCCCTCATGTATAACCACATGTAATACCACTTTCATTGACGGTGGATAGTAGAAGAGTGAGAGTGAATTAAAAGGTAGCAAGAGAGGGGATGCCATGCAACAAAAGTTCCAGATCTCATATCATTATATCGTCACATGGTTAGATGGTATTTGTCTGATAAGCGTTAACTGTATTTCTTATGATTATCACAAAAATCTGAATCTCAGAAGTTTTAATTTCACACACCATCCACCATCTCAAAGAGTGTGTGACGCTGTGTATATTAATTGCGTGCGTGTGTTTATGTTTATAGTCTATTTGTGAGTGTGTGTGTGTGTGTGTGTGTGTGTGTGCCTGTTACAAGCTGCTGGTGTAAACCTTCAGGTGTTTGGGTAGGTTCACACGTGTGCCCCAGTGATGGGAAAGCCTCAAAGGCAGAGCGAGTAAGTGACCCAAATAATGAGTTCAGTTGGAGAACCAACAGAGAGAGAGAAAGAGAGCCTCTATGTCGCCTCCTTTGCCCTGTGCACAGTTTAGCAAGCGCAAAGACACATTTGCCAAACGAAATGCCGTCTGTTTGCATACGGCACGACAGTCAGTGAGAACGAACAGTTCACACGGGCAGCAAACTGTGACACAGGCCCCTGCTCAGAAAGACACAGTTCATGTCGCACCAGAGCGAGTGCGAGGGCAAAATTGAGGAGAAAAAGACAGTGGTAGCAAGACGGACACATCAAATAAGCGGATGGTCTTTCTCGTCATTTGCAGTTTTGCGTTCTCGTACCTCTCTTTGCTGAACTTGAGGGAGTGGAGGATGGCTGGTCTCTTCTGCCTCAGGTTCCACAGGTGAACACTGTCGTCTGCCAGAGCACTCACCAGCGCTCCCTGTCACAACAAAAGAGTCCTTTCATTTTACATTCAAAGATATCACATGTACCATCATTGAAATACATGTAGATTATAACGACAGAAATGTCCATGAACACATTTGACAGACTGCTCTCTGTGAGTCTGACATGCATGAGTCACACTGTATTCCCTGGAAACAGGTTTTAAATCAGGCGTCTTTCTCCCAGGTAACAGCAATGATTCATAAGATGTATTTAAATGTATGTGCACGTGTAGGAGGCACTGAAAATCGTCTCCATCTCTCTCAGGGTTTGTTTGAACTGTCACAGTCACAGACGCTGATGCTGACACACACACACACACACACACACACACACACACAACTAAGCCTGAAATACTGCATTTCTCAATAACATGAAGTAAATCAAACTTGCCACATGAATCAGAAAGCTGTAGGCATTCAATACGTATAGAAATGTTTCCAGCATGTCAGCTGTTTAAGAATGTCTGGTGAGAATCGACTGACAATTTCAATAAAGTTGTCAATAACACCAAAAGGTGTTATTGACAAGTGCATTGGATCAATAGGAACCAAGAAATCCTGCACACTGTGCATGAATATATAATACTAGTTCATTTGAATTTGACTTGGTCTGGTAAGAGTATTCAGTACTCTTCTTTTTTCCACAAATTTATTGGTTAAAGGTAATAGACCTTTTTTCATTCAATCAAATATGTCAAAGTCCACAAGGCATCACTAACTCATTTTGTTTTAACACAAACAGCCAGAAGAGTGTGAGCAGGCATTCTGTGCCAACTTTTGGGCCATCATCACCCAGCCCCACTGATACCACGGGACTTTGTTTGAATGTGTAATCCTACTCTTGGTACAGTCGCATACAAGGACGAGAACTGCTCACTGCCAAAAAACTCGGTAAGACGTGAGGGAGATGAGCAGAGAAGGAATGCGAGTTACTTTCACACTACCAATACGATCATCATACATCCAACAGCACACAGTAGGGACTACTTTTTGAACATTTTAAGAGGGGGAAATGCGATAACCAGGGATGAGTATTATTAAAAGACATACATCACAGTGGACTTTACCCACAGAGTCACCTGTCCTTGGCTTTGGAAGACAGCGCTGGTCTTACTGGTGGAGATGCCTCACTGGAGTAATAAACATTGTTCTGACTCCAACGTTTCACTCGTCTTTTTTGTGACCTACCTCATTGATGAGGAACTGTAGCTGGATGACGGCCGCTCCACTCTCATGCTGACAGTAACACTCCACGCCTGGACGACCAAACCTAAAAGGTTGTCTGTCAAGGAACGTACAGTATCATATGTAACACCAAAGCACTTGTCTTTGTTTGTTTATGGCAGCCCGGTATGCACTTTACATATTCACAGTAGAAGTAAAAGTAGAATATTCACAGCCTGACCAGATTCATCACCTACAAGGCTTCACCCTTTCTGACTCCCCACATGCCTTCCCCATTCCTTTCTTGTAATTATTGTAACTATTCAACACCCTGTAATTGTACAGCATAGGGCTTAGTTTTACCAGCAAGCTTTTTATTTTAAGAGCATATATTCTTATAATAAAGGCACTTAAGAGCACCTAATACTATTATTGAGGTAGATGATTGCAGTAACAGCTGTGTGGTAAACAGAAGAGAGTGCTTGGGAGGAATATAGTCAAAACAAAACAGAAGAACATTGGCAGTGCTGCAGCGAGGGAAGAAGACTGTACCAGGATTGAGGGGGAGCAAATGGAAGGAGGGGGAGAATTCAGATATTCAAATATATATAAATGCATCAGCAGAGAAGAGGTGGATATTATGTGAGCAGATGAGAAAATAATAGCAGGGAGGGAGAGCGAGAGAGGGAATACAGTTATACGGAGATCGGCCACTCTGATAAAAGATGCAGAGGAGAGAGAAAACATGTACAGAGGGGTGGGAGGATGGAGGAAAGGAGAGATGAGGGAAAGGAGAAGGGACTGACAGAGAATAACTGGCTGCTCTTCCTGAGGAGAGTGAATGGGTGAGCTTACTGATTATACCCATTCATTCTGGTGGCAATTTTTCTTACAGGGGGCACATAGAGGTGTAACACCCTGGGGACGACACTATTGCTCATCATTAGTTAGTTAGTTAGTGCGTGTGTGTAAAGGTGGGGGGTGGAAGGTTGTAACTCGCATACATATGAGCAGTTAAACTGCCTGCAGAGGTATCAAACCAAAACACAATACTGTGAGGTTTTATGAATACAGATTCAATTTAAACATCATAAGAGTATACTAGACTGAGAAGAGAAATTCCTTTGTTTTACCATTAATCAGAAGAAAACTGCATCACATGTTGGTAATGACAATGGAAGCAATAGCAACAAGAGAACAAGCAGAGCCCTCGGAATATAATCGAAACACCAATAATCAAGTCCTCCTTTCCCACAGTGCAAACTGCGCCTTCAGCTCCCAGACAGGCCCCAGTGTAATTTATTAAGCTGTAATGCATGTGATCATTGCTGAGGTGTGTAGTGACCGTACCAATCAATAAAGCCATTTCATCAACGGAGCCAGCACCACACACACCTTCTTTTCCTTTGGACTGAATACACAACACGGGGTTTTGTAAGCAACCAAGTGAAGTACAAATGTATTTTCATCCTTTCATCTTCACATTTTGCATCATTTGGTCCAATACATTAATCTCCATCCATTGGCTACTATTTCATTTATAGCTATATTCGACCGCAAGGTATCAGCGTGGTTCAGTAGCCTGTGTGCTGCGTGGAAAGCTGCCCCTCAGCTCCTCAGGTGGATTAAGCTTTGACCTCACCATCCCGGACATGCAATTAAAGAACTACAGCTCTGAGCCGGTGATGCCCTGAGTCCCTGTCCAGGAGAAATCCACCAGCTTCTTTGGATTTCAGCCAGTAAGCCCCCAGAGAGATTGAGCAGGCCTAAACTATTACACCTGGATGGCGCCCCCAAGTCAATGATGATCAGAATCTTCCCCTATATGACATCTGACATATAAAACTTATGTTAAGCTGTTAACCTGTCTGTAAACCCCCAAGACCTTTAATTCTGCCTCACTCCACTTTAAACCTCCCGCAAGTAAATGAAGAGTAACCTTTGACTGCATGGGATCTATAGGAATGGTTGGTTGGCAGTTTTTGGAGTTGCTTTTAATAAATCACAACATGAAGTTGAATACTTGGGATTGAGCAAACATGCAGTAAAGTACATGTCCACTGCCACAGTAGTGGCACTTCAGACTTCACTTTATGGTTATGAAAATGTTCAGAAGCATTTATTAAAACATATACATTTCATCGTGTTCATCGAGTCAGAAATAACAAAACAATTCAAAACAATTGCAACTCCACCAACTGTCAAACTGAGACCTGAGGATAAGTTCTAAAAAGAAGAGAAGTGAAAAGTGAAATATGTAGAGTGACACAAGGTCACTGCTGCACTTCAAAGTTTACTGCAAGAAATTAAAAAATGAGAAGTTCTCTGACTTTTAGACAAGAGGCAAAAGATGATCATCAGCGCGCACAGAATCACTGTCACAGCCAGTGGATGAGGACGGAGGACCCCGATGCTCTCTCCACTTGACCTATATGGCTGCGATGCTCAAGGATATTGCTGCTGGCTACACTGTCACAGACTTGACGTCCATGCAGGCCAAAATGTGCAAGTAAGGGACAGCAAGCTATAGGTTAGATCAGCTCATTTAATGAGCATCGGGATGTATTGTATGCCTAAAAGCTTTAATTATGTTGCTTTTAATTGTTTCCGAGCGCAGAGGGGGAAAAGTGATGAGAGAGGAAGTGGCGCTTGTGTCATTGCTGTTTGCCAAAACATAAGGAGGTACTCTACCACCTTGAAGTGTCAATTGAATTACTGGTTGTACATGCAAGTAATTACTGGAGCTGGCTATTTATCTTCATAAACTGTAGATAAACTGATCTGCAATAAGTTAACAAATGCTCCCAAAAATGTGGAAAGTTACTTTTAGGTCACCATGTGGATATTTTTCCTTAATGCCTGACAAATGTCTCAATAGGCATTAAATATCACTACTCAATAACATCCCATTTGTCCAATTAATCTGCAGTAGTCTATAGTGCGACCTCTCTACACAGTTTGTGCTTCCCCTCTGTTGCAAAAGTTGTTGAGCATTATTCTTATGTGTAACCTTCATTCATGGGACAGTGCCTGTGCGGTGTGTTAGTCAGGCTGTTTTGGGCCCAGCGACGGTAACAGTCCATCTCACTCAAAGTGACTTAATTGCAAACTCTTTCCTAATGTTGCCCGGCAAGCAAATCTTTCAGGGTCACAGAAAGAGAGCGGGGAGTATGTAGTTAGACGTTGTGCTTGCTCACATCGCCTTCTCTCTGAAGGGAGGCAGCCATCCCACAAGCACATTATCATGAAAAGCGCACATATGCCTTCACACAGACATAAAACATTCTGCTAAATAAATTCAAACCATCAAAGAAGCAACAAATTGATTTTGTTCATATTTCAAGTGGATGTTGGCACAATAATTATCATTAAAATGCAGCAGGCCACAACAAGACATCAAATCCAATGGGAGAAGACTTGGCTTCAGTGCCAAAGAATGTGCAAAGAATATGGCTAAGCACTGAATTTCACCACAAGCAAGTTAGTTCTAGTAGACTAAAGTTCTGTATTTCTCCCTTTGTATTTAATTAAGAGAGACTAGTACTTTCAGTTCATGTGTATCTTAGTGAAGCATGTCTACATGCTCTACAGAATTGCATTTGATGGAGTGTTTAACACTCGCATGTTTTTATGCACATTTCCAATTTGTGCATAAAACAACCTGGAAACTCAAGGCGAGAAAAAGAGTTGACATACTGCGAATTATTTTTTGGAAGCTTGGCTGAGGTAGAGAAGTTTGTATATCGATGAAAAGAAAATGTGAGAAAGTGCAATTGAAACAGACTTAGCCGATGAATCATGACAATCTTGACGCATTTAACTTAAACATCACTCAAAATAATATTCCTTAATGGTTTAATGGCACAAGGTTAACGTCACCCACAGTTGATCTCAATGGAGCATCTGGCTTATACATCTCCTTAATCAATGCATTGTTTTTTGAAGCTCCTATATTTAACCACTCAGGACAACAAATGTGTCCACGAAAATGTGTCTCACAGATGAGTAGTAGTCAGTAGGAAGGTTAAGTAGTTAACATTGATTGAGTCGGACTGACTTTCCAAGAATATCGAGAACAAAAGTACTACAATGATAATAAAACAACTAGTAATGACTTGTAAATAATTACAATAGTCATTTGTAAATAATTTGTGTTACTCATACAACAAATTATTTCAGTTTTATGGTAAACCAATAAATCATGTTTTAATTGTTTGAAAATAATGACCTCATCATTGACTGTTGGCTCAGAGATAATAGAACATGTATGATATAGTGTGATCGTAAAAAAGGACCACTCTGTCTGTGTTGTGCGCTTTCTGCTGCTCTCAATATGTGAAGGTAATTCAATCTTTACTCAGTGCATGAAAGCTTTTACATTTGTTTATGTAAACCTCCAACGGTGGGTAGCTATTTACCACTGCAAATGTATTTCCTATAAAATACATGTTTCCTCTGGCAGTGTGCCTTTTCCCTCGATTTCACGCCAGCGTGGGAAATTTCAATTTCTGTGGGTTGTTTTCACATCAATGGCTTTTGACACACTACAATAACATTACAAAATCTTTCACAGGATTAAAGAAAGAAAGACATTATGAGAACACGATCATACTTTTTAATGATTCCTGAACCAAATGGAAGGTGTGTTATCCTGCAGGTTATTAATTGCATTTTACCCACAATATTTCCTCAGGGTAAACATGCTGATACATCTGGAAAAAAATCATCATGTACAGAGGAAGTAATTCATTTCATTTTGTTATATTGTCATGCAGAGAAAACATTGTTTGTTTGTTTCAAAGATAGGAAAATGTGAACGAGATTAAAAAAAGATGTCACATTGCTGGTCATACTGTGATTCACAAGTAATATTGAACTGCTGAACAAAAAATGTTGCTTCCATGTCCCCTGAGCACTGCAAATGCCAGCAAAATAAAAGCATCACTTTACGAGAAAAGTTCCTCGACATCTCAGTTGCCATAGTCAAATTCTTTCCAGTGTTTTAACAAACATGACCCAAAGTTACGCTCAAGTGCCTCGACTCCGTCCACTCGGGACAGGCTCCGTAGGAGATGTGTCACAATTGCTGACAAGAGCATTCCTCGT